GAAGAATCCGAACATATGTGCCCGAGACACGTGTGAAACAGTGTGACCAGGTTCGTTTGTCTGGGTGTGCGGGGGTACGGCGTCTGGAGCGGAAGAGGTACATTCATAGGTTCTGCTCTCACCGACGCATCCTCCACCTTGCTCATCTGCTGCTCCAGCTCTGACACCGTGAGCAGCTCGGTTTCTTGCTCTTTGCCGAGCAAGTCGTCAGGCAGTCAGCAAAGACCAAGAACACAAGAGGAGAAACGAGCAACGAGCGGCGGGACCACACCAGCAGGGTGGGAAAGTGAGCAGAAATAGTGATACAAGTCGAGCAAGCACACAACAGACACACAACCTACCACCCGTAGCCATTGGAATAGGTGGTACCAGCCGTGGCCATCGGAACGGAGTGATACGGGCTTAGTTTTGACTGGCATTCGCTCTTACTAAACATGGAGGCAAAACCATCACTCGGCGATCCAACTTCAATGACTGCGCCAAAAGAAGCGAGTGTTTTTGGACACCCATCGGCGGAAAACGACAGGGTGCAAAAGACGGTACCACCTGACGTATCCCTCCCCCCCGGGTGCCGCCCGCCCGCCCGAACACAATCTCGCACCGCACGGTGTGCAAAAGCTCCACACACCCTCCCCTTCCCACGCCCCAAAGACAAGCTCGAGACAACAGCCTTACCGGCGACCCCGTTATCTTCGCGCGGAGCGGTCGACACGAGGGTACCGCCGCCTCCGCCGGCCTGGCCCACCCCTTCCGCGGGGCCTCCCCTAGTGCCGCGGCCGAAGTCAAGCGGAGGAACCGAAAACTCCGTCTCGTCTTCGTCTCCGAAGCCTTGGTCCAGCCTCACCGCGCCGTGAGGCGCCGCCGCCGCGGGCCCCGACAGGCTTACTTCTTGCCCGGCAGAAGGATCGTCCGCCGCCGAGGGCGGCAGCAGGGAGGCCGGCTGAGGCAGGGGCTGCCTGCCGAAGGTGCTCGCCCCGCTGCTGCTGCTGCTGCTGCTGCCGTTGCCGCTCTCTCTCTCCATGCCCAGCAACAGTTGCCCTTGCTCCTCGTCGTTTTCGTTTCCCTCATCCCGAGTGCTGTCGTCCCCGTCGACCCTCCCCGCCGTCTGGTCCTCGTCCGCGCAGACTTCCGCCGTTCCGTTCAGCTGCGCGCGCGCCTTGGGTGCCTCCTTGCTGCCCCTTTCATCCCCCCGGGTGTTGTCCTCGTCGGTGTCCTCGTCGGTGTCCTCGTCGTCACCTTGCTCATCTACGCCCGCCCCACCGGCACCAGCATCAGCTGCCACACCTCCGTCCTCCTCACTTGGCCCCCCGTCGGCAGTCCCGTCCCCTTCAGCACCGGTGGCACCGGACGATGGGCCGTTGCCCTTGCCGCCGCCGCCGGCAGCGGCAGCGCCCGTGGCAGAGGGGCTTACCTGAGTCGCGTCCAAGCGCTCCACTTCGTCCATTTCGTTCCCCAACGAGTGTGCAGGGCTTTCGGTCCCGCTGTTGTTGCCGTCGGCTGGCCGCAAGCCGTGGCCGGAGGCGTTTCCGTTAGGGTCGGGGCTGCCGTGACTGCCGCAGCCGCCGTTAGCTATGGCGTCGTCAACGCTCGGGTCGCCTGGCAAAAAGCCGTCCAACGAAGAAAGGAAGTGAGGGGTTCGTTCGGCGAAGCGATGGCGCACTTTTGAACGTACGCATAGCGGCGACGAGAGGGTGGGAACGTACGAAAGGAACATCATGATCATTTCGTGCACTCCGATTGGCTTGGGTTTGGAACGTGTCTCTTTGTTTTCCACGGGAACCAGTGTCCTACATACGGTCAACTCGACACCAGCGGGGGGGATTGCCACGTCTCATGGCGTCCCGCGAGGCAACGTTCTATTTCCTCCTTTAATTGGGGTGACTCGTTCGGATTTGCAGACGCATTTTTCGACCCCCAAAACTTTAGAAGACACCTCCACCCGTCAACACCCCGAGCCTATTCCCGATGGAGAGCAAAGAATGCCAAGCACATGACAAAACACACGCCGACGAGTAAAACCCACCTATGCAAAAAAAAATCACCCCGTTACATGTCCCAACCTCGTCCCGGCCCTCCACTTCACCAAAAACTATATAGACCTCGCTACAGGCACGCCCAATGGACGGCTTCTCGCCATTCTATCATAGGGTCCCGCTTACAACACTGAAGCGCCTTCTTTCGCGGGTGTCGGCCCGATATCTAGCGCCGTCGACGCGAATCGAAGCAACACATTAACACACACAAACACGTTGCTGCCGTTTCTGTCAACAAGGCCGGAGAGAAAGAACGTAGCCTCCCACCTCAGGGGGTCCCAGGTCATGGCCGACGGAATACCTTTCTGTGTTTCAGCCGCTGAGACCGGGGTATTTTCATTGGCCAGCCGGTCAGCGCGGTTGATACTACCAAAAAAAACACACATACACAACAGCGACGACGACGCGCGCTCGTCCCAGAGGCAACCCACAGCTCCCCAACAATCTCACCCAGGCTGGGTGCGCCCTGGCTGTCGGCCAAAATGTTGCCCACCGGGACGTCCAGGTACTGCATCAGCTCCATCAGCTCCTTGTTCAGGACTAGCGCCTTCTGCTTCGCTTTCTGCAAAGAGGAAAAAACGCCGCCAGAGGGGTGGATTTCCAGCAAACGGCCGTTCGGGAAGGAAAAACAAAAATGGTTGGAGACGTAGGTACACAGGTTGCGAGGAGCGCGATGGTGAGTGGTTCGGTATTCAAGAGGCCTGGCTTTCATGTAGCGACGGGGGATATTATGGACCCATGGTGCGGGAAAACAAGATAACACGGTGCGGGAAACCACCGCGGGAGGACACTGCTAAACGGACTCCTATTTGGCCCAGACACCTGAAGCACACGACATACGAGAGAATAGGCAGACCCGCGCATACCAAGGCAGCAAGGTAGTCTTGAAAGAGTCGCAACGCCCACGCGCACGTAAAGAGCGTGCGTAGAGCACGTGAAGAGCGCGCGCAGAGCACGTCAAGAGCGTGCGCACAGTACGTAAAAGAGCGTGCGTCGAGCGCGTAAACGAGCGTGCGTCGAGCATCAGCCACGAAACCATAGACGTGAATCTTGCCTTCAAGTTTGTGCCAATGAAACGAGCCTCCCCCTTGACGCCGTCTCTCCGATTCTTGCTGACTTCCAGGTCCAGCCTCGCCTCCTGGAGCTACACGAAGAGGCGGCGGGGAGGAAAAAAAATGGCTACGATGTCACGAGGGTAAGCGTCCAGAGAGAGAGAGAGGGAGAGAGCCAGAGAGAGAGTGAGGAAGAGAGATAAAGCGAGAGAGAGAAACCCGAATCGTTGTCAATGACGACATCAGCTTTCCAACCGACCAATTTAGTCTACCCTTCCACGACAAGCACCATGAGTGCCATGACCGACGGGTGGCCAGCAAAGCCGTCCTGGCATGTCATGACAAATGCCAAATCGACGACAAAAAAAAATGTCCGGAAAAGCCGGTGGCCTTAGAGGGGACGTCTGGCACTTCTTAGGGTGCTCAATTTCCGCGGGCAGAACATATCTGTGCCAATACGCAGGGGCGAATATTGTTCGGTGAACCCAAAAACAAGGAACCGGCAATAAACTCCGAACGCAGAAAGCACCCACACCATACCTCTGCTTGGAGAGCGCGGGTCGTTTTCTGGCTCTCTTCCAGCTCCACGGTTACTCGGCTCAAGTCAGCTTTCGCGGCTGTACCGGACGCTGCGGCCTCCTCCAGTAGGTTCTGCGTATGCAGACAAAAGCCCACCCCAACCGACCAGAACAACGTAGCGGCAACGTGCTAGGTCACGGACGTTGGTGACTGCTGGTGTCGCCGCTGCTGTTGGCGTGGCAATCTACAGCGGTGGTTGCCAGTCCTGTGGACGAAGCATTCGTGTTTTACACTGCCTCGCGCTGCTGTGGGTGTCGTGCACTGTTCTAGCTCGAGATAATCCGCGTGTTTCACTGACGGCACGAGAGAGGTAGGCACCTGCGTTTGGTGACTTCGTGAAGGCACGCCGCCACCAGAAGCGAGCAACCAACCACCTCTCACACTCCATACCATCCCGTTCGTCCACGAGAGGAGTACACCCCCACCACCTGACACCTCACACCAGGCAAGGCACGCTTCTCTGACGACCACAACACCACCCGCCGCTGGTGCAAGCGCCCGTACCGTACATAAGACTTTCGTGTCACGGTCGGAGTGCACACGGACGTCCATATCGACACTCGTTCACCACCCATGCGAACAGCTTGTCCTTGTCCTTGTCCTTGTCCTTGCGACACCCATGTAAGTTTCATTGATGTGAGACACGCACATCTCAATTTCGTGCAACTTGTCCCTTGTTTAACACCCCATACAGGTGTCCTTGTTGATGAGGCACGCACGTCACAATTCCCGTGCAAACCACCACCACCCGCGTACACATCATGCCTTCGTGCTTCGTGCAGCACCCGTGCATGTGGCATTGTTGGAGAGACATGCACATCTCATTTTTCGTCCAACTTGTCATTTGACCACCAGTCGCACGTGTCATTCAATTTGGTCCAACTTTTCCATTTAACACCCCATGTAGGTAATTTTTGCTAGTGCAACCACCCATACCCGCGTACACATCACACCGCACCTTCACGCGCTTTTCCTCGGATCGAAGCACCCCGACCTCGCCCTCGAGCTTCGACAGCTCCTCCGCCACCCGCCGCCTAGCGACCCTCTCCTGCTCGAGGTCCGACAGGGCTTGCTCGAGACCCTTGCTCGTCCGGGACGAGGTCGCCTGCTCACTCGACAGACATCGAAGGCATTCAGAGATGGACACGCGAGAGGGAGGGGCGCAAGAGGCGATGTGAGGAGAAGGGGGGGTAAGGTAAGACAACAGAGCGGTCCCGGATAAAGGCCAAAACTGGGGGGGGATGTTCACATCAAGCTGGCCACCATTCTAAGCACCCCGTGCGCAAGCCCGGGACTCTTTACACATTTTTCTTTTTTTACATGACCTTCGTGTTCGGGTCATTTGGGCCTGTCTTTGCCCGCAATTGAATATACGTAGCCTTTTGCATGATCTGAGCATTCGCGCGGAAGCAACAATGGCTCGGGCCACCGTACTTCCCTGCAGGCCCGTTGCTACTGCCGCCCTCCTACGCACAGCATTGTCAAAATCTACCGCGATTTTAAGGACGGCCTACTTCAAGAGCGACCGAAGGTGTTGGGGTGTCCAACTACTGCACGTGCTTGGAGACACAAACCCGTCTGTTCTTGAGTAGGCATTGTAGATGCCCTCCTTTAGAGTGTGTAACGAAGCCATGAACGCCTGGTATCAAACCGTTGGGCAGAGGGTACCAAGGAAGTGATTGAACGGTCTACACAAGGTCGTCCACATTTGTCGTTTCGACGACGGCGTCGTCTTCGGCCGCACCTTGCGCTCCTGAAGCTCCGCGGACAGGAGCTTAACCTCTTCCGCACAGCCTTGCAAGCTCTTCCGGCCGGTCTCCGCGGCTTCCAGCTGTAAATGTTTTGGGACAACGACGAAAGAAAAAGCGAAACAAAAGTCACATAACCACAAAAAATGGTGGGGGGGGGAGACAAGACCACAGGAAGCAAACGATCGAGCTAACAAAAAAAAAAAAAAAACGAACGCGACAACGCCTCAAGACTGCACGGTGTGCGTGATGAGGCACCTGATTCTGAGTCCGCGCGAGCTCGCCCTCGGCTTCTGCCCTCGCCCGCTTCGCCTCTGCGCAGGCGGCCTCCTCTTCCATCAGCTTAACTCGGCATGATTCCACCGCCTCCTGAGCCTGTATAGATACAGCGGACACGCGTTTTTTTTTTGTCGGTGCGAGGTGCTCTTGCAACCATAACAACAACAGTCGCAGCACCGTACACACCCACCACTCGCGTCATTCAACCGCGGCGCGACGAGGGGAGAACAACATTCCAGCGAAGAAAACACAGCACAGCAGCATGTATGCCCTCCGACTCACGTCTTTCAACTGCGCTGTAAGGGAGAACACGTTCGCCTGAGTCTCCGCGGCCTTTAGCTGGCCGTCCTCGAACTTGGAGCTCCACGACTTAGATTCCGCCGCGATCTGTCCGCACACACCAAAGACAACCGAAGACAGTGAGGTCGTTTGCCATGAAGGAATACACAACGGAACGGGGCTCGCCCCGAGAGAGCACAATATTTTTCCTCTTGCACGTGGCGCCACCGTTGAGGCGGAAAAAACGAACTGGTCGGTCTCACGGCGTGACAATATCGCGAATAGGTGACCGGCGCGCCTTGAAGGTGAACCATGTATTGAGCCGGCTTTCCACGGGAAAACGACCGAGGAAAGATCGAAGTGTCGGCACACTGCAGAGAGAGAGACTGCAAACTAGCATGGTCCTCAGATATGGTTAGGTGATGAAAGCACTTGGGTGGACCCACAAGAGCCGTGTTGAAGTGCTGTACGCAACTGCAGCTAGCTGTTCATCCTTGACTCGGCGGTGGACTCTCGACACCCGCCATCAACAGCACTGTAGGTATGCATGCATGCATATTCATCCATACCTCAGCGAGTTTCTGCTGGTCCTGCAGTTGGCGTTCGATCAGAGCGTCGATTTGTTCCCGGAGCTCCTTCTCCTTCCTGTGTGTGCCAGAACAAAACCAAAAAAATAAGACCAGACAGACCAGAGAGTGACTACGGGATGAGAGTGAATACAGGATGAGCACATAGCTGGGAAAGGCGGGGGGGGGGGGGGGG